ATCCAGACAATAAGAAAGAAGTTAAAGAACATGTACACAAGGAGCACTTTTGTGTTTTCTAGGCCAATTTATACAGATGGAACCTCACAGATCAGGAAAGTTCTGCACTTAGAGGACAGTGATTTTTGTTTTGGCCCCAAACTTACTCATTGTGAAGTGTCTCTAGTTTGAAGCCCAACTGGAATGTTTAATTTTAGTGAATCCAGATCCTCACATATGCACACATAATCATCTTTTCCAGCATTCATCTCAAGCCTATGTTTAGTGGATGGTCTGTTTAAAGTTATTCTCACAGACTATGGTGTATTCTGGCAAAGAATTGCCCACTTAGACAGGAAGTGGCCATTTGACTGACATTTTATGCAACCAGTCAGTTAACTTTTTCCCCACAACGTATATTTGAAGAGTTCAGATGCAAAAGGCTCTAGGTGCCATCTGAAATTTTCTTCTAAAATTCGCATTTTTATCAGGCTCTTATGTTTAGGTTCAGTAATTGTACTTTAATGGCAATGTATAGGTCCTTTTCTATGCCATTAAAGTGAAATAAATTAACAAATATAGGAGCCTGATAAAAATACTAATTTTAGATGAAAATTTCAGACGGCACTTAGAGGCTTTTGCATCTGAACTCTTTATTTATAGGTGAATTTAAATATAGCAATTCACCAATGTGCAACCAAGTGTTAGCCATTTGTTGAAAAAAAAAAAAGAAAAAATACATTCTGTTCTGTTTTTGTTTATAATGAAGTGTTAGTTTTGCTAACACTTGCATGCCTTGTGCATGCATTTCAGTTTTTTCAGTAATTTAATTAAAAAAAAATATTTTTGTTCATTGTTATGTTTTGTTCATAGTCATTTTTATTAATGATGACAGTAGTGTTTGCAGCTTATATACAGTGGGTACGGAAAGTATTCAGACCCACTTAAATTTTTCACTCTAGCAAATGGCTGCAATATAACAAAGAGTGAAAAATTTAAGGGGGTCTGAATACTTTCCGTACCCACTGTATATAGGTCAAACATGAGACATCCCATTTCTGTGCCCACATCAAATAAAATTGACAAAAGTGATTTTATATTCATATAAAGCAAATTAATTTCAAATAAGGAGTATAATGTTTCAAATAACTTTTGTGAAAATAAAATGTTAAAATATTAAATTAAATTCAAGTTTATTTGTACAGCACCTTTCACGATACAAATCATTGCAAAGCAACTTTACAGCAAATTAAGTTGATTCTGTGTACTGTCTTTTGGTCCAATAAGTAATATCTCTGTCTTATCCGAATTTAATAGGAGAAAATTATATGGGTGAAATAATGTTCAATCGTCATTCATTGTAACAGATATATACATGTAAAAATGAAACAACATACTTATTTTGACTTGTGCTTATTAAATATATAAAAGGATTAGAGATCATACTAAATGTTATTATATTTTAATATAATTTAATATATTTAAAAAACTTCCTGCTGAAAAATGGAAGCTCAGAAAAAAATGTAATTAAACAGGACAAATTCTAATATACTGTATGTCTTTTTTGTCTTTGACTCATATCTCCCGAGAACACGACACCCAGTTTTCGGGTAAATTAAACTTTAATATATATATTGACAGCATTTATCTTTGGTTCTATAGCTTCTGTGTCTCTCCTGAAAGAGTGTTATATGCTGGTTTGTGGTGATCATTATAAGGCTGCACCAAATTTTCGGCAGCCGAAAATTATCGGCCGAAAATAGCAATTTTGGTTTTCGGCCGAAAGAGAAAAATGGCCGAAAATATAGGCTACATATAATAATATATGCCGCGCCCCGCCCGGCAGTGTTCAGTGCGCAGGTTTCACTCTCCTCGTCACTGCTTGGTTTGACGCTCCGCTCCGTATTCCGCTCTATGAATGTGCGTTCCGCTCGTGTACCGCTCATGCTCACTGGAAAAGCAAAGTCTGCTCAAATAACGCACTGACAGGAAATTTCTATGCAGTATACTTGTTCCTGATTGCAGTAGCGCTACTGTGCTATAACATGGTGTAGGCTAGTACAGCTGTACTGGGCAACGCTGGTAAAATGATGCTACATTCAGTGCCTATGCTCTGCTCACATGCTCTGATAATAATAGCTTTGTAGCTATCCAATACATTGTTTGGTTGTATCTGATTCTGTTGCATAGTTGCACAGTTATGAATAAATAATGAGTCAGTGGTCCACTGCAACTTATTTATAACAGCCCTCTGCTATTTATTCAGTCCATTTGCCAAATAAGGTGAAGGCAAGCCTGCTGTGTAAACATTCCTTTTCGGTTTCCCATCAGCACATCTCAAGAAATGAATGTAGGAGAGAGCCAAATGCTATCCCCAATAATGATGTACCGAAATGGAAATTTTACCTGAAAACTGAAACTGAAAATAAAGTTTTGGTAGTTGAATTTGGGTAGTTGAAGTCAGTATGCCAGTCGTAGTAAAATTTCTCTGCATTGAGGCCCATCTTGATGTTTCACCTGAACAAATTTTACATATTGCTATTTTAGCATTATTTTTGGTCCACATTGCTGACATGTTTACTTGTTGTAGCTTATCCGTGTTGTGTGCATGAAATAGATGCTGAAACAATCAAAACGCATCATCAGAGAAGTAATGTCTAATCTAAGTAAATGTCACTGTCTCTGTAAGTGATTTCGGCCCTTCAAAACCATTTCAGTTTATTTCATTGTAATTTTTTTTTTTTTTTGGCATAACATTTTTAGTTGGCGAAACTTTGATGCATAACTATTGGACAATATTCGATGCAGACAATAATGGAAAGTAATTTCCAATGGGAAAAAAGGTCTGTTTTAAAAGCACTGAACTGTATTTTCTTTCATTAAAATAGGTTTGATTTTATGTCAAAATAACATAATATAGTAGAACACTGTTCTACATAACAGACCAAAACCTTATCGTTTTGCCATAGTACTTATTAGCTGCCATAATAAAAATGCTGGTGCATGCTTGTGCAAAGATTGCAGCTGAAATGTTAAAGTTATCCTGACAGCTTTTGATGTTCATAATATCTTATGTATCCATTTTTCTAATATTGTCTCAATGATAAATAGGGCTGGGGCCACAGGGAAGTAAAAAAGCTCAACTTTTTATGTTGTCTGGTGCCTCGTTACTCACTGAATTGGCAAAATATAGCGTTATAAATGTAAGCAAATTGATAGGTTAGGGATTTGAACCTTATATAATAGTGGCTAACTAATTGTAAGTTTCTAGATCAGTGAATCTAATGTATTTCATAAAGAAGCTGTGTTACAGTGAAATATTAACAAGACTAAATTCATAAAACAGGCATTAGTTTCATCTGCTTTTTAGTTTATTGCCCTATTGCACTCTCTGGTGCTGTCTTGTTCGCAAACCGTCGCGTCAGCAAGGTGAGTTCATGTTCAGTGTAATGGCTCTTTTCCTGTGCGCAGTATTACCAATGTTGTTTACCATAATTGATCTGTTTAACAGAGACACATGATACATTTCAATGGTAGGATGCGTGTGACCGAAGAACACAGAGTTAACGTATTAAGACGCCGTCAAGCTTCACATACTGTAAGCTGGTCCTGTGTACTTGTAGGGCTCTCAGGTCTTATAAATATGTTAAGTCACTCAAGAGGAAATTAGTACACTGCTGCAGGATACCACTGATTCAGTACGGATTAGAAAACCATTTCCTGTTTATAGTGTATAGTTTTAGCATTCATTCCCTGGCATGAGATGTGTTAGATGTCCTGAGGTAACAACATACAGTGTCCATATGTTGTTTTTCAGTGATTTTATTTGGCAGATAGGAAGCTTTCTAATCTGAGGATATGACGAGAGCGAGATAGCCTTTGCCCTTGGGTCACACAGGGCTCTTCATACTCGCCCGTATTGTATTTTACATTATACAGACATTGACCGTACACTCAGGTTCAGGTACAGGTTCTTTATTGGCATCTATGGTTCCATGAAGGACCTTTCTATTGCACAAAAGGTTCTTTATGTTCTTCACACTAATCAAAGATGGTTCTTTTAAGAACTGTTCGCTGAAAGGTTCTTTGGAGAACCCATAATGGTTCTTTAATAGCATCGCTGTGAAAACTCTTTTTTGTAACCTTTATAAGAGTGTAAGCTGTAAAGTATCTGTAGGTTTTCTTTGGATGTGTTTGAATGATATTACGATCTAACAGAGAATCTAAAGAGCTCTTGTTAGCATAAACATCCAACAACACAACAGTTTCCTCACCCATTATAAAAGGCTGGAATCTGCAACCTGATATGGAACAGTACTTGCATTTGTGCCTAAATGAACATAGAAAGCATGCAGTGCAACACGGTACTGCTGGTGAATATGAATGACTGTTTGACTGAGACAGTCGTTGTTGTCCTGTTGGAGAAGGGCTTTATGGGAGCATTTACAGTGCATTACTCCAGAGGACTGAAGCAACATTCACAGACAAGACTTGAGACTCTGATTAGGGACTTTGTGTAATCCATTTAGTTAAGTCAATGGACAAGACCCTCAGTAATATGACGCACAGACCTCTGGGAACACAGATTCCCTCTAGTGCCGAACCCTGGTGGCTTACTTACATTGTCTGTGGGTTGTTCAGAAGTAACATGAACGTATTGAGAGATCTGTTTTTTTATGGTAAAATGTACATGAAGGTGTATATCTTTAAATGCTGTTCATTTAAATGGAGCATATACTGTAGTCTCTCTATTATAATGCATCCTGTATTTTTTCTTTCTTTCTTGAAAAAGGAGAATCTTGGTCAGTCTGTGCTATTTTCTGTACAATGAAAACTGGTGATTTTTACTGCAAAGCTCCAAGATGTTTTTCTCAAATTGACGTGATAATTAGATGAGGGTGAGTGAAATATCCCTTTAAATATGCAATGCATTTATATACAGTAGTCATATTTTGTGTTTAGCACATTTGATAGGGACTCTAAGGTGTTCAGATATGTATGTACCTTAACTGAGTCTAAAGATTCGGTCGAGCAGGAGTGGAGTGTTACTGCCGGCATGAGAGCGGATCGGCTGTCATCCAGCTGGAGTTTCTTGTCAATGAAGTAAGTTCTGCCCTGACCACCTGCATAGTCATTTCCTCTTCCTTACTTTCTCCAGGTTGTATCCCTCTTCCAATCCTGACATTGCCTGTACCTTTTGGTTGAATATTTAGTCTTTTAATCTGTTCAAAATGTAATGAATTACAATGATATTAATGCGTATTTGCTGAATGCTGACCGCAAACGAGAAAGTATTATAATGTTTGCCTTTCTATTACTAATAATATTAAAGCAATCGTTATAATACTTTTTTGTAAACATTTTAATTCATTTGTTTAACCGCTCTATCTGATTATTAGATAGAACTGAACGACGACAGCGAACAAGAGGGAGAATGTGAGCACTGTGTGTTCAGGCGCTGCAATCTCAGCGCCGTCAAAATAAAAGTCCTGCCTCGAACACATTGGCCAATGCCGATATTTGAAAAATGCCAAATATCGGCCGATATATCGTCCATGGCGATATATATCAGTCGACCACTAATTACAAATGTAGAGCTCTCTTATTTCAGTCATTTTTTGTGTGTTTGGTCCATAGGGGGCGCTGGTCAGTGCTTTGGCAGATGACAGTATTCATTTGTGGAATCTGAGGCAAAAACTTCCAGCCATCCTTCATTCTCTTAAATTTAATCGGGAGAGGTAAGCATCCTGTGGACAAATAAACCATGCACAACTGTTGTGATATGGCTTATGGTGATTATCAAAATGGAAAAAAATATATATATATATATATTTATATCAACTGCTCTGAGAATGGGTCACTTTTACATGCATTTGGGAACACAACATTCACCAAACGTCTTCCCTTACTTGATGAGAAGCACTTTAAGGGCTTCCTGCAGTTTTGTGGCTGCAAGGTTTGCACAGGCAAACACCACTTAAAGTTTCTTCAGAAAATACTAAATTTGGCCTTTAGCTGGGCCTTCAAAGTTTTTGTCTTTTTTAAGTAGCAATGTACTTTTGAGTTTCTACGTTTTCTGTTAATCAACAGACCACGAAGGCTTGAAATGAATATTTGTTCAGAGACAAGAGGGCAGGACAATGTTCTCAAGTGTCCTCAAATGCATATAGTCTTGATTGGTGTCCCATTCAGAAGACACACAATGGCAGTAATGCACAGTTGTCCACAGTAATACCAGTTGATTTATCAACCGTGACTCATTCATTTTGCCAGATTTCGCTCTGCTGTTATTGCCATTTCATCCTTAATGTGTCACGAGGCACAAATCAGTCAAATGCTCGCCATCGTATGAGATAATCACAGGGAATATTTCACTTTGATTAAGGTCAGCTCTCTCCTTGTCTTTGGCAGGATCACGTTTTGCCATTTGCCATTTCAGAGTAAATGGCTGTACGTGGGCACGGAAAGAGGGAACATTCACATTGTCAATGTGGAGTCCTTCACCCTCTCAGGCTATGTGATCATGTGGAACAAAGCCATTGAACTGTGAGTGTCTAGACACCATGAACTCCAGTGATTCTCATGTGTCTTCTTCTACTGTTGGCTTTCGGAGATTTTAATTAAAGGTCTTATGTACAAATATTTACTCAAGGTCATCATGCATGAACTCTGCATACCACCTTGAAATATTTTCTGCGCAAACTCTCACCTCTCTTCAACAGTTCCTCAAAGACTCACCCTGGACCTGTAGTTCATATCAGCGATAACCCTATGGACGAAGGAAAAGTACGAAATCTTAACACTTTGGGATTAAATATATTCCCACAATACACTTTCTGATTGCTCTGCTTTTCAGTTTGCATAATTTCAGAAAAGTTGTTTCTCTTTTTTGCAGCTTTTAATTGGTTTTGAGTGTGGCATAGTTGTGCTTTGGGACTTGAAATCGAAGAAGGCTGACTACCGATACAACTATGATGAGGTGAGGCTTTGTTATTGTAGGATATGGACCAGTCATCCTAACTGGATGTCACATTTTCGAGGTCTAGGTCTTTTTTTAATTTCGGACAAACTTAGAGCATTGTTTAAAGCAAAGCATATTACTTTTGTTCTGTAACATCCTTGAATGGAAGGAAGGAAGGTCTCCAGTAGAGATGGGATGTACTCCAAGTACTCAGATGAGATAGTAGTGATTGATCACGAAAACACAACAATAATGGCATGTTATTCTCTTTAATACATTAAACTTTACTTTAAAATTAATTGACAGCTGTACATCTCCAATCAACCTTCCATTCACATGTTTAATTTTAGTATTAGTTATGAAATTTTTGGTGGTAACTTGCTGTTCACATCATAAGACAGTAAATTACACATTAAAAGTTACACATCACATTAAAAGATAAGATAAATTTCACATTAAATGTGAAATTTTGAAGTAGAAAGACTGAAATAGTATTTTCTTGGTTTTTATATTTGAAAATGAAAGAATTAAGGTGAATATTAGCATTGTAATTTTACAGTTGTAAAGTTTTGTTTTATTTAGTCATTTTTATATTTTTATTTAGCAAAAAATAAAAGTAATACTACTACTACTACTAAAAATAATAATTGATATGTGACCCTGGACCACAAAACCAGTCATAAGGGTCAATTTTTTTGGCCGAGATACAACTATTTGAAAATCTGGAATCTGAGGGTGCAAAAAAATCAAAATACTGAGAAAATCGCCTTTAAAGTTGTCCAAATGAAGTTCTTAGCAATGCATATTACTAATCAAAAATTAAGTTTTAATATATTTACAGTAGGAAATTTTCAAAATATCTTCATGGAACATGATCTTTACTTAATATCCTAATGATTTTTGGCATAAAAGAAAAATCAATAATTTTGACCCATACAATGTATTTTTGGCTATTGCTGAAAATATACCCCAGCGACTTAAGACTGGTTTTGTGGTCCAGGGTCACATATTGTTATTATTTTAAACACAATCAGCTTGTAACACTCCAAAGAGAAAGGAAAACTTGAAATTGCATCATATGACCCCTTTAAAGGAAAAATTTATAATTTTGACCCATACAATGTTTTTTTGGCTATTGCTGAAAATATACCCCAGCGACTTAAGACTGGTTTTGTGGTCCAGGGTCACATATTGTTATTATTTTAAAGCCATATTGATAATCACAAAAATTCTAAATAGTATTTTCTTGTAAAATATACACCAATAACCTTTGTTTTATTTTCAACATCAAAAAATAAATACATAAATTTACAGTGTATATGGTGACATATATGTGCCAAAATGGACATATCACTTGATTTATTTATGGAGTACTCAAATAAACAACTGTAGTCTAAAGGAAGTAACTTTTTTCAGAAGCCTTTGTGTTATCTATGAGGAACGGAACTAAGTTGTTTATTATGTTTTTGTTGACTCATATTTACTGTCACAAAACATGAACCGTAGTTTGCCTGACCTGGTTTCTCTTGTGGTTGATTACTCATCCTTTGTTTGGCCCGTAGGCGATCCACTCTGTGGCTTGGCATCACGAGGGGAAACAGTTTGTGTGCAGTCACTCTGATGGCACGCTTACCACATGGAATATACGCGCTCCTGCCAAGCCTGCCCAGATCATTACACCGCATGGTAAGCGTCTGCCCAAACAAACTCCCTTCTAAGTTCCTCAGGTTGAGCGCTTCAGGGAGCACAGAATAAATATCAAAAGACCGTAGAGGTGAAGTGTGTCATTTCAGTTCCATTAGCAGCACCACTGAAATAAAAATGATTGTTTCCAAACAGGTTTCTGAAAAAGATCAATGTTTTTAACGAGTCATTATAATTTCAGACAATCAGCCTATGAGTGATTACTTATGGACCCTTTTCACAGACTGTGACGACACGTTTCCACTGTTATTAACATTTTAAAATCTAGCAAAGTTTTGTGTATTTCCATTAAAAATAAATCAATAAATAAAAAATTATAATTTGTGTTTCATTACCTTGGCATTAAATTACACAAAACCAGTTAATGCTAACTAACTGTGTGAGTGTTTCTAACACAACGGCTAAAGGGAGTGACTCTTCTCTGACCAATGTTATTAATCTCTCTATACATTTTTCCTCATTTGTAAAGTCATAGAAATGCTATCATGGATTTTTGCTATTAGTGCTAATGGGAGAGCAAAAATTATATTTTTTGTTGTTCACCACTATAGAAGTTTACCCAACTATGACAACTTCTGCTTCTGCTTCTGAAAACCCTGGAAATGTGAAAAGGGTCCATAGTTTTCACTGCACATTAAATAGGGAAGAGGAATGTGTTTCAACCTCCAAAAAATTACAAACTTCAGCTTTAATAATGCAGGTTTTTTTCCACTAAAAACATCATATACTTAAGGCTGAAGCAAAGCAACCCTTTTACAAATGCATCATGATTCTTAAACAAAAATGCAGACTCTGTCCACAGAAATTTAACATCAACATTTTTATTTCAAGTTATTTTTCAAACGAGTAATAGATGCATCGAAAATGGTTTTGGAATCAAATTATGACTCCCATGGATTAAAATCAAGCCATGAGATGCCTAAAGACTTCTACCCTCAATTTATTTTGGTTCCTATGATAAAAATACACAGATACTGGCGATAGAAAAGGAAATAAAAATACATGAAGGCATATTTATTTGCACACCTTGTTTAACATGCAATATTCTCTCCCAGGTAAACAGCCTAAGGATGGAAAGAAGCCGGAGCCATGCAAACCCATCTTGAAAGTGGAGTACAAAACTACCAGGGCAGGGTAAGGCTTCAGTGGAAGCTGAACTCAGGGTCGCATTCTTGAAGCAAACAGAGCATGATGCATTACACACGTTGCATTGCAAGAGACTGTCTGGCATAGGTGCTCCAGTTTTATGGTTTTAAGGAGATGACCTGATGTTTTTCAGAAGACTGACATGAAATATAAAACTAATTGCACAATACGTTTTCTCATGATGCATTGGTTTGAGACTTGTGCAACCTCACATTGCGAGAGACTGTCTGGCATAGATGCTTCTGTTTTATGGGTTTTACAGGGATGACATGATGTTTTTCAGAAGACTGACATAGATACAGCTAATATGACAATACCTTTTGTATTGCTTTTAATCATATTCTTCATTCCACTCTTTCTGAATGAAGCACTAATTTGTTTCACTTCCGGCTTGGCTTCTTTGCATCATGGAAAAATGAGATTTGTTCATTTGTTTTGTTAAGGGACCCATTCATGATACTGTGTGGAGGTTTGTCATATGATACAGTGGGTAGGCGAGCCTGTCTGACTGTGATGCATGGGAAAAGCACTGCAGTGCTGGAGATGGACTACCCCATAGTGGATTTCCTTACGCTGTGTGAAACCCCATATCCAAACGGCAAGTCACTGCCCCACCTATCGCTGGATGTTCTCCCATAACGTTTACTGTATATTTAACAGTGCCTTTACAAACAACAGAGTCAAAATACAATTAAAGAAAACAAAGCAGCATTGATTTACATTTTTTAAGTTATTTTCATATATATCATCAGATTTTTTATTTTGTATTATTATTTATATTATTTAATGATTTTTATTTTGTTGTTAAAACTGTACAAATTAGAACTAGACTAAGATCTATATATTGGGCTGGGCGATATAATGGAAAAAAATATTGTAGACTCTTTTTCATCAAATGAATCATATACAGTATATATGTGATTCATGATAATTTATTATAATTAAATTTATATACATTTATATTAATTATATATTTATATATGCTTTTCTATGACATGTGTTTGTTATTTATATTTATTTATTTCTGTAGTTAAATCTTGACAAATTAAAACTAGACAGTGTGCTCTATGTTGGGCAATGTAATGGGAAAAAAAGACTTTAGATTTCTTTTCTTTTAACGAACAATGATTTTTAGACCAGAAAGTCATTGCAAAGTAGATCATTTATGCAAGAACAAAAATAAAAATCTAGTTATGAAAAGCATTTATCAAAAACATTTTTTCACTAGATAAGTAAGAAAAATAAATGGTATTTTGTGAAAATGTCCCATTTAAGTGTTTAAAATAATTGTTCCTTCTGTATCCCCACAGATTTCCAGGAGCCTTATGCGGTTGTTGTCCTGCTGGAGAAGGATTTGGTTGTCATTGACCTTGCACAAATTGGGTGAGTAAATGCCAAATGTGAAACAGGCTGTCTTTGCTTGTGCAGCTGTTTTATAAAAAGCTCTCTGTGCAGGTATCCGATCTTCGAGAATCCTTATCCTCTGTCCATCCACGAGTCTCCGGTGACCTGCTGCGAATATTTTGCGGACTGTCCAGCTGAAGTCATTCCTGCACTTTACTCAGTGGGCTCCCGACAGAACAGACAAGGGTTCAGTAAGAAGGTAACATTTTGCCCTCCTCTGTTTAAGAAAATGCATAGTCCTAAAACGGCTGGTCCAAATCTGTGTTTTTATGCAGGAATGGCCCATAAGTGGAGGTAACTGGGGCCAGGGAACACTGAGTTTCTCAGAGATGATCATCACTGGGTAAGCAATCTCTCGCATACACGCTCTATTTGCTGAAGCCTTTTCACGTTTAATATTTGGATTAGAGAGGGAAATAGTTTTTTGGTATTAGAAGGAAAAATGGTTTTCGGTTTGGAGCCAGGGCTGTTATTGTTTTCTTCTGTTTTGTTCTTGAAACAACAGGCATGCTGATGGATCGATCAAGTTTTGGGATGCCTCAGCATGTGAGTTTCTGTCTCGGAAAACATACTTTTATGTTTTATGTCACAAGTAGAATCTACAGCATTATTTTGAGTTGGAAAAATAGTAATAATCAGATAAATATGTTGGCCAGTTTGATTTTTGCTTTCAGGTACCAATAAGAGTAAAAGCACTCTCCGCTACATTTAAGACATTTTTACAGATTTTGCAGATATTTTGCAGATTTCTCTATACGATATGTAAATCAGAAAATGCAGTTGAAGTTTGCAAGTTCCATCTGCAAATAAAAAACATTTAGCAACAACTAATGAAGATAACTGATAATGAATATGTTCTTTTGTGTCTGTCAGTAATGCTGCAGGTTTTGTATAAGCTGAAAACAGCGAAGGTGTTTGAGAAGCCCCGCGGTAAAGAGGAGAAATCCAGCACTGAAATTGTGGATGAAGATCCGTTCGCCATTCAGATCCTGTCCTGGTGTCCAGAGAGCCGTGTGCTCTGTGTGGCTGGAGTATCGGCTCATGTCATAGTGTACAGGTTCAGCAAACAGGAAGTCACCACTGAAGTGGTTCAGGTCTGACCCATTTAAATGCAGGATGTATATATGTGTAGATATTAGTTTAAAATGGATAGCTGTGTCTATGAGAGATTTCAGATGCTGCTGGTCAGCATTTGATTTACATTCTTTACCTCTTTTAATCATTTAATGAGTTCATTTTAAATGGTCCTGCTATATGACAAATGTTTAATATTAATATGAGGTTGCAAAAAACTGCATGGTGATTATAATGCAATTAGAAAAATGTTGTTTAAAGCCGTTTTAGATGGAGTTTAGTATGCACACTGCAGGATATTTCATTAAACATTAAGTTGTTTTGACACATGGTTTCCAACAGTTAGACTTCCATATGCTGCATCCACACAAATGAGTAAAGCTCTCACTTATTTATGTTTAAAACCTTGTTTTTTAATGAGGAGGTGTCACACCGCAAGACTGAATAAATGAACATGGAAGTAGCTCCACATAAATATTACAAATATAATTAATAGCGGGTAAAACTCTTCTTTATACTTACAAGCCTGGAAAAAATCTTCCTTTTGGGGTCCTGATTAGCGATATTATATAATATTAAGGCTCACCAAGAGATTTTTCAATTAGAAATGAATGTCGTGAGTCACTTTACAAGAGAAATCTATGTATAAAAATATAATGTTGTTTATATTTGTTAACAGTGGAATGTTGATAACTGTTGTGTTCAACTTAATGTTCCTCCTATATATTTCCTTTTATGCCAGATATTCCTTTGTTTGTCCCTCTGTTTCTTTTTCTTAATTTTGAGTTTTCTTATTTTTTTATTTTTACAGAATTTAAATATATATATATATATTATAAATGCTAAAAGTATTAAATTATTTGCATAGATAATTTTGTGTTTATGGACAAAATTTGTGTTCTTTTCTTTTCAGATAAATGAAGAATATATAACAGAAAAATTAATTGGCACTGTTCTATGAGCAGAGTAAAATTAATTGTCATGTCAACTCATGGACATTTATTATTTTTTTTTGGCTGTGAAATTCATGGAAATCTGTATCTCCATCTATGGGCATATGGATCTGTGAACATGCATATGTTTGTATAGAGTTGATGACAGTTGTCTTGTGTCTGTAGCTCCTGGAGGTGCGTATGCAGTGTGAGCTGAATGAAGTGGAGTCTCCCGAGTGCGGAGGTGAGCAGGCGTCGGCTGTGTCCACCCCAGGAACCTCATCCAGCCCTCAGACCAGCCTGCCTCAGTCCCACCCCTCCACCAGCAGCAACAACTCGTCTGACGGCCTGCGAGATAACGTGCCCTGTCTCAAGTACAGTCTGTTTTCATCTATTTCAGATTTACTCACCTCTAAGCAGCATGCAAAAACAACAAAACTAAAACTTCAGACTTTGATCGCTTCACATGTTGATGAAATGGTCTTTTCCTGTGTAAGTTCACAGGGTTGGGCCATAAATTTGGCCATGTGGACCAGATTTTTGCTTAAATGTCTGGCTGTTTGACCACATGATTTGGTCTGTGCTTATGATAGCATGTAGTTAATTGGGTCCTGTGTCTTATTTGGCCAGGGTCAGGAGTTCTCCTCTCAAACAGTCTGCGGGTTACCAGGTGGAGCTGCTCATTCAGCTGGTGTGGGTCAGTGGGGAGCCGCCACAACCAATCACCAGCCTGGCCGTCAACTCTGCATATGGCCTGTAAGTCCACGAAACTACAGCACAAACTACTGATGTTTTTACTGAGCAATTAAAAACACTTCCTTTCCACAACAGCTGTTCATTATCTTTCAGACACGTGTTATCTGTCATGATCCTTCATATTAAAACCTAGCAGCCATGCTTGAATAATTGTTCTTCATTACAATACACTATTGAAATGCACAAATGTAATTAGCCACAATATGCTCTTATATCTGATTACCATAAACTCATGTGTTGCTGAATTTAAAGTTTAATATTTCAGGTAGCAGGTTTAAGGGTGGAGATTTCAGTTTAATATCTGGTGTGTCCTGGAGCCTCGAGTAGAAATAGTGATTAAATCAATGCTGTGCAAATGTTGTAAAGCAAACTGTCAAAGCTAAGAAAAAGCAGTTTACTTTTTAGTTATAGATGCTTAAGGGCATTTTTTTCTTGCCTTTATTTATAGGCAATTTTATTTTCAATTAAATGTTGACATTTAACTTCTTAAGTAATTCACCGCTGGCGGATATATTACGCAGCAAAAACTGTTTTCAACATTGATAATAATAATAATGTTTCTTGAGCAGCAAGTCAGCATATTAGAATGATTTCTGAAGAATCATGTGACACTGAAGACTGGAGTAATGATGCTGAAGATTCATTTTATTACATTTTAAAATATATTGCAATAGAAAAGTTATTTTAATTTTAAATTGTAACAATATTTCACAATATTACTGTTTTTACTGTATTTTTGATCAAATAAATGCAGCCTTGGTGAGCAGAAGAAACTTCTTTCAAAAACATCATAAAAAAATCTTTAATGATTCCAAATCTTAATTTAATAAATCTTAATGATTCCAAACTTTTGACCGGTAGTGTGTATCTGTTGTGTGTTTTACAGAGTTGCTTTTGGCAATGGTAACGGACTTGCAGTGGTTGATTACCTTCAGAAAACTCTGCTTCTGAACGTGAGCACCGCTGAGCTGTATGGCTCAACAGATCCTCACCACAGACAACCACACTCGCCCCGCAAAACCAGACAGCCCTCGGCAGGTGAACAGACAACAAAGAGAAAGCTTCATCTTCTTACTAATAATCATAACCTCTGCATGTTGTCAGTCTGTGTTTCTGTCTGATAAAGTAAAGCACATGCTCATCATGAGCAGTGTCAGTCTACGGACCGTGATGCTCCTGCATCTCTGGCCGAGGAACCATCTGCAGCGATCTTAGAAAATCATCCGATCCATATACTCCAAAAGGGGTGCTGGTGTTTGTTCTTTTCTGTCCCATGTCTTTGCTTGTTCTTTTTGTTGTTCACTCATATGAGTTTCAGTCTTTGAAATACACAGATGCCAACAGATTGAATTTAAGGCCATGTGACATTATTGTTAGGGATGCACTGATATAAAAAAATCTGACCAATACCAACTTTAAGTCGTGTTTGAAAAGGCATTTTATTCATACGTTAAATTTAAATTTTAATGTACAGTAAACAATATTTGAACTACTAATACTTTGCATTGCTATGCATTTATTGTCAATTATTCTTTATTATTTTTAGACCTCGCTCGATTATTGAAAATAATAAAGCGGAAAGGATGTCCTGAATTCAGTCTCTGGACTCTGTCAGTTCAAAGGCCTTCTAGCTGTTCATTTGATTTTGTGTCATTGTTTTGTCTCACCCTTTCAATATTCGTCTCTCTCTGTGGTTTCGTAAAGACACTCTGCATAAGAAGTCTTGCATGTCCGGCCTCTCTAACTTTTATTCTGAATCTGTGATTATGTTTTTAACATAAAATGCAAAGTAACATGTTGTCAAGCCAAAATAAATGTCTAGCCACTTGTGTTTAACAAAGGAGAATAAAACAGTATTAGAACAACATGAGGATGAGTTCATGATGACAACATGTTCATTTTGTGTGGACTGTGCCTTTTAAGGTGCAATGTGTCATTTCTGCAGCACTAAACTGAACTAAAAGACCCATGCCGGCATGGTTTGAACAAACTGGTAGTCCCGCCAAACCAATGCAATTTTATTGTCAATTATTCTTTATTATTTTTAGACCTCGCTCGATTATTGAAAATAATAAAGCGGAAAGGATGTCCTGAATTCAGTCTCTGGACTCTGTCAGTTCAAAGGCCTTCTAGCTGTTCATTTGATTTTGTGTCATTGTTTTGTCTCACCCTTTCAATATTCGTCTCTCTCTGTGGTTTCGTAAAGACACTCTGCATAAGAAGTCTTGCATGTCCGGCCTCTCTAACTTTTATTCTGAATCTGTGAAAAAGCTTCGTTCTTCTTACCTCAGTAAGTCACATGGCACACATCAAAGGTCTTTTCCTTCTCTTTATATCTGTCTGCATTCTTCTTTTTCTCTTTGTTTAACACTATAGTCTATTTTTGTGTTGATTTATTATTTAAGTGTTATGTGATTTTCATTGTGTAAAGTCATCCTGGCTGTTCGGTTTAGACTTGTTTGTTTTCAACAGGTCTTTGTGATGGTAATGATGCATCAGCCGCACCAGAGGAGAGATGCAAATCACCAACTTCAGGTAAAGATGTCCTCATTCTTTCTGCATTGTAAGATTTTACTGGTAAAACAAAAAGTATTGAGAGCGTGGATTCATGGTAGTTTTCTGATGAGTTGTTTGACAGACCCTGAAAGGAACAGTTCACCCAAACATCAAGCTTTTGTCATAATTTACTCACTCTTGTGTTGTTCCAAACATGTATTTAAGGAGGCAGAACACCCCCACCACCCACTTTCATTTTATACTGCCAAGCACCAAAAATGGAAAATATTTTAATATGCATCTGTATTTCAAGTATTCTGAATCTATACATTAACTGAGATTAACAGACCAGACCTCGTATCATTTGTGGTTGCATCATGTCACAAGTGGTCACATGACATATGAGAGCCACTGACATCAAACCATATATATATATACCTCTGAACATCGCCCAGGACGTGGCCATTCCACGTGTGGAGTGGGCGCGAAGTCGAGGTGGAGGTGGTAAATTTGCATCCTTATAACACATTACGATCGCGTCTACCACCCAGTGAGAAAGCCGCTGACATGAAACAGGACTTCCTCGATAATTGTCAGCCCAAGAGACAAAGAGCTGATTACTCCTTCGTAACAGTCTCGTCTTCTGCACATAAACACTCAAAGAGCGCACCGGGCATAAACAGTGTAACCGCTCTTCCTCTGATGAAGAAAAAGGCGGTGGAAAGAACGCTAGCAATTCCACAGATTTGTTTGTTCCTGTTGTGTCCCTGACCTTAGGAACAAATGCCGGGTTAGTCCTTAGCGTAACTTTCGATCCATCCAATGCAAACTGCATACAGGAAGGATGTACTGACAAAGCGTAATTCAAATACTGTAATTCACTTATGCGCTTTGCTGTAGTGAGAGCGATCAACAAAGCCGTCTTTAAAGAAAGATGCCGCAAATCAATGCCCTCTAATGGTTCAAACGGAGGCTGTGAAAACGCATCCAGATCCACCATTAAGTCCCAGGACGGGATCAGGGATTTAGTGACCGGACGGAGCCGTCTCGCTCCCCTCATAAACCGACAAATCAGGGGGTGCTGACCTATCGTTCCCGAATCCAGCCCCACATGACATGCTGAAATAGCTGAAAGATAGACCTTTACAGTCGAAAAGGCTCTACCTTTATCCAATAGTTCTTGCATAAAGCAAAGAACATCCGATACAGAGCATAAAAACGAAGTAATATTCCTCTCTGCACACCATCTGTTGTGTTCTTGTGTCCTTTATCTGTTTGTCCGAATGGTGCGTGGTTTATTTCTATGTCTAATAAACACACTGTGAGACCGTGAGCTGTGAGCTGCTTCTTTTACTGCCTCTCGTTCATTTTACATCACACCAATACATTGCTTAGACTTGAGCAATCAACCGATGATCAGTATGACACACAAGTCAACTTAATCAAACACAGAGTGTCAAACCTAATCCACCACATCCCCCTTTTTTTAACAAACTCAGACATGGCACTTACATTCAAACTGGTGCACTCAAATCTCCCCATATACATATTAAAGTCTATCAAACAGTAACTTTGACTTTACATTTAACTCACTAAACACCATACCATATATTACTCAACAGTGGCCACTATGAACATTAGTAGTCCATTCAAATTACTTTGAGAATCCTTTGATCTTTCTGTTACAGATGTACATTCTGCTTTCACATTTCTCTCTAGCCTTTTTTTTTTTTTTACATGTCCAGAACATAATCATTATATCGAGTTGGCTGTATTACTGCTCTACCACTTCTAGTATGGCGTGTTGGATGCTCATCCACTCTCGCCGGAGAATTCCCAGATGATTGGTCAGCTGGTCTGGGTGTTTGAGTGGATATTCCATCCGAAGGTTCATCAGGATCAACACCTTTGCACAGACTCTGATGTATCTTTCTCAAGTGCCGTCTGTTTCTCCTGAATGTCTTTCCTGCTGGCGTTTGCACCGTATAAGACCGAGGCTCATCTCTCTGGTGCTCCACTACAGCGGGCACCCATCCACGTCTGGTCTGCATATGTACTGTGGATCCTGGAGCCAGCTCAGGTAACGTCTGAGCATTGCGGTTATACTGATGCCGCATTCGAGATTGCAAATCCACCAGCCTTTTGTGTCGTCTTAGCATTGCGGTTATACTGATGCCGCATTCGAGATTGCAAATCCACCAGCCTTTTGTGTATGTGTTGTGGGGTCGACTGTTGGAGCACAGCACTAGAGCATGGGATTGTGCTCCGCAGGACTCTACCCATTAACATTTGTGCAGGAGATTCATTCAGGCCTGACACTGGTGTATTTCTTAGTGACAGTAGCACTAGATGTGGGTCTGTGCCAGTTTGCAACGCTTTCTTCAATGCATGTTTAACAGTCTTTATTGCTCTTTCTGAAAGTCCATTGGACTGAGGGTATCCTGGACTGGAGAATGTGAGCTTGAAGTCCCATGATGCCGCAAATGACTTCATCTCGTAACTGGCAAATGGAACATTGTCACTCACTAATTCTTTCGGGATGCCATGTCTGGCAAAGACTGATTTCATTTTTTGTATTACCGTGTGGGCTGTTTTGTCTGGTATGTTCAGTACCTCTGGATATTTTGTTAAATAGTCCACTAGCAATAGATAGGACTGACCTCTCAGCTCGAAAATATCCACTCCAACCTTCATCCATGGTAGTTCTGGAACATCATGAGTGATCAGAGGCTCTTTTTGCTGTCGTGGCTGGAGTTGTTGACACGGCGCACATTTCTCCACCATCATCTCTATGTCTTGCGCCATTCCAGGCCAGTAGAGGGATTTTCTTGCTTTGGCCTTTGTTCTCTGAATACCTTGATGAGCTATGTGTAGCTTCTCTAAGATTACTTTTTTGAAGCTGTGAGGTATGATTATCTTGTCTCCTACCATTACAATGCCGTTCTGCACACTAATTTTATGTCGCATAGGCCAGTAGCTGTGTAGGTTGCTGTTTACACTGCTTCTTTTCTGTGGCCAGCCAGTCTCTACCTTTTCACACAGATCTTGCACCACTTGGTCTCCTGCAGTGGCCTCTTTCAATTGCTGAAGTGTGTGTGGACTCAGCGCATCCGTGGCCTCCAAGCCATGCACAACTTTCTCATCACAGAGGTCTACGCCATCATTAGCCTCACTACGTACGGTTTCACGGGATAGCGTATCAGCAATATACATGTGCTTGCCTGGTGTATATGCAATGTTCAGTTCATACTTTTGCAGCTGTAGGAGCATTCGCTGCAATCGTGCAGGGGCCTTGCACAGCTGTTTCTGCATGATGTTCTCGAGGGGCTTATGATCTGATTGCACCATCACTGCCCTGCCATATATGTACTGATGAAACTTCCTTGCTGCAAAAAGTATGGCGAGTAACTCTTTCTCTATTTGAGCATATCTTTGCTCAGTGTCAGTGAGTGCTCGTGATGCCTAACACACAGGGTGGCCCTCTTGCAGAAGACACGCTCCCAAGCCATCTTTCGACGAGTCTGCCTGTATTGTTAGTGTTTTTTTGTGATCATAGAACCTCAGCACAGGTGCTCGTGTGAGAGTGGACTTCAAACTCTCTAAAGCAGTGCTATGATGGGGATTCCACTGCCATACAGCATCCTTCCTCAGCAGCTGTCTTAGGGGCTCTGTGAGCGAAGCTTCATTCGGGATGTACTGCGCTAAATACTTAGTCATACCAAGTAGACGTTGTAGGCCTTGTTTATCCTCTGGGGGTGGCATGTCTGTGATCGCCCTCACCTTTGCCTCATCAGGTCGCAAGCCATCTGGTGTGACAATGTGTCCCATGTATTTCACAGTATTGACCTTGAACTGGATCTTATCACTATTAATTATCACCTTGGCCGCTCTTGCTCTCTCCATGACCTTATCAAGGATTTCATCATGCTCCTGCACCGATGAGGCAGCTATGATCATGTCATCAGCAATGTTGTGTACTCCTTGTATGTCACCAAAAGTCTCGCAGTTTTTCTGCTGAAACACCTCACTTGCTGACTTGATGCCAAATGGGAGTCTCAGAAAACAATATCTGCCCCAAGGTGAGTTGAAAGTGCATAGTTTTGAAGACGGCTCATCCAACTTAATTTGCCAGTAACCGTCTTTTTCATCGAGAATGGTAAAGATAGACTTTCCAGCCAAATTGCTACACACATCTTCAGGAGTGGGAATGGAATAGTGCTGGCGTTTTATGGCTTTGTTCAGATCACGAGGGTCCAAACATACCCTCAGTGAACCGTTCTTCTTTTCTGTGATAACGAGGCTGTTTACCCATTCTGTGGGCTCAGTTACAGGGGATATAACACCTCTATGCACAAGATCTCGAAGTGTTTCTTTCAACTTGTCACAAACAAATAGTGGAATATTTCTGCATCCATGGATTACAGGCGTGACTGTTGGGTCAACATATATATGATGAACTCCTGGGAACTCACCTAGCCCTGTGAAGACTGATGGATACATGTTGACCAACTCTTCTTTGGTTGACGCAGACTTTTTTGCAAGCAGTTCAATCCTTTTCACCAGCTGTAGTTGCTCACATGCTGCTCTGCTGAGAATTGGTAGCACATTTGCCTCTGCACCTGTGTCTAGTTTGAATATTATCTCTACGCCTCGGATGGTGGCTGTTGTGTACCACACACTGTCTTTCGTGTGTTCCATCTCATGCACTTGAGCATGTGTTAGTGTGCCAATGTACATGGACTCTGTTTCACTCTTTATGCTGTGCACAGTTTTTGCTCTGCTATCGTTGCGAATGACTGCATGGCATACCTTGGAGAAATGGTTATTTTTGCCGCACTTATGGCATACTGCTCCAAACGTTGGGCATTGGTGTGGCTCATGGCTCTTTCCACATCTGTGACAGTTTCGTGTAATTGGCTTCTTGTTGCTCTTACTTCTTGCACCTGGGTTTCTATATTCTGTCGCTTTTTCTATAGCATTTACTTGAGAGTCTTCGACAACTGCAGCATTTTGCATGGCCTCTCTCTGTGTTTTGGCTAGCTCAGTTGCTCTGCATACTTCGATAGCTCTGTGTAATGACAAGTCATTTTCGCGAAGTAATCTTTCTTTGAGAGAAGGGTTTGTTATACTAAACACCAACTTATCTCTGAGCATGTCATTCTCACTTGGGCCAAACTCACAGTCTTTGCTTTTTTGTCTCAGCTCTGTGATGAATCTGTCCACTGTAATGCCATCTGCCATGGGATGAGACCAGAATTGGTGCCTCTCAAACACTACGTTTTTTTGTGGGCTGCAATAGTCTCTGAATGCTATGAGCACCACCCCAGGTACTAGGCTCTGGCAGCTGCTTAGCTGTCTCCTCTCTGGGCTGAGTCTGAGAGGAGAAGCATGGGTCCTGGTTTCCTGCTATCGCAACCCTGAGTCTCCTCTCATGGGTTTTTTCAGGAAAACTAGCACCATTAGAGCAGCCCTCTGGGGTAGATATCGCAGCTTGGGCGTGCTTAACACCCAAGCATGCTATGCAGAAAGGATGTGAATCCTTAGCCGAGATCCATAGACCGCACGAGCACATGCGAGGGGGAGCATCTTTCCCCCCCGAGCTCTCTGCCTTTCTAGCCGTGGCCATAACTCTTTTCACTCTCTAAAGGCGTTCCCATAGTGAGATACCGAACGGATGTTAGAAAGAGAACCATTGGTGATGCAGAAAATACACACTGCAACTTATAGACAGACATATTGATAAACACTGCAATGCCAGAGCATTGGACGTGAAGCTCTATTATAGTTAAAAATTCTATAGCACAGCAAAAAATAAAACAATTCTGCAAGTGTCATCAGAATCCCAGTCAGGTGTGCTGACTAAGTATATTTCATTTACAAGGAATTTGACTTTGATATGCAGATAGTTGCCAAAAGTTACATAAGACTCCATGGGCTGTATCACATTATTATGCAGACTGTGTTGTTGCTATAGGCTCTGGTTCACCGTGCAATTCTGATGAAGACAGCAAACAAAAGTTCATTGACAAGGGTACGGTACATTGTAAACACACTTTTTAGAAACAAGGCTCTTTTGACCTAGGAAAGCTTTTATTTTCTTTGATTGGTTCTATTTAACACATTTTCCAGTGATGTCCAAAAGCAAGCGGATATCCAAGACTGTTGCCAGTGACTTTGGTACTGTATAATGTTCATATTACAGCAGTCTAGGTCTCTCCGTTTCTGTGCTAAATGTGCTCTTGTGCACTAACCAAATGAACTAACCAAACAAATTAAAATGGGTTCGCTTAAGTGTGTAGTAGAGCTGAGCTAGAGCTTTTTGTGTCTGTTGCTTGGTGGTTGAGTGTGCCAATAAATGGTGGACCAGTAAGAACTTATTTGAGAAGTAGTCAACAGTAGTAAAAGATAGATTGAGTAGACTGAAAACTGCACATGATGTTTTTTAAGATTAAAACGGTTTTATTCTCATCATGTCAAAATTGAATCTCCTGTAGGAGTGCTTTTTTCTAACCTTTTTTTTTCTACAGGCTTTTACTCTGCTCTGGTGCGTTTCAAGGGTAAAAATACACAGGATTATGAAAATGATGTCAGACATTTAACATATTTTTGATTTTGAATCATGTTTTCACACAGATCTCTACTGATCATCTAAAATCATAGACAGGGCGATCACACACACTTTTTGGAGAGAAATGAGGCTCCAGGTGTTCTGACTCTTGATCGGTGCTGGTTTCATTGCCACTAATCTCAATGCATTTTTCCAGGCATGATCGAGTTGCTTCTGATTGTAACATACTAGATGAACAAACATCTCGTTTTAAGGCTGCTGATGGGCTCATGGCTGCTCTTTGGCTTCATTCTACATCATGATCCTCCAGCTGATAAACTTAGTCTCAACCTGCTTATTTCTCTCTAGAAACAGTTGATTAATACTTATTTAACTTCTTTAGTAACCATGATTTCCCAGATGAGTGGCTTTGATTATGTGTTCAGAACAATGTTTTCTTTTTTCCAGCTAAGATATCCCGGAAAATTAACATGATTGCTGATCATAAAGATGGTAAGAGTTTGTTCTCTCACTTTAGTTTCTAGGAGTAGCTGTGACTCTTTTGCAGGGGATGAATTTCTTCCACGCTGACATAAAATGGGCGTTACTTTAATCAGTCTACATAGATTATCAGCAAAAAGATTGGTTCAGTTTGCAGCTTATTCTGGTCTAGAGCTGCACACTTAAACAGTAAAGGTCTAAAAAATCAAGAGTCACCGTTGGGTTTGTTTTTATGTGGCAGTTGAATAAATTTAAAATGATAGGCACTGCAATAATAAATTCAATGATTTTGCACTAGCTTCTAGCTTCATGTGCTATAGACCTATAATATACTTGGATGCAAGAACGGAAAAATGAACCGATGTTTTAAGGTGCAATGTATGTACTCTGCACTGTTGTGCGTGTAGAAAGGAGGTTACAGCGTCACTGCTCTCTCCCTGGTAAGAAACAGCAGAGTTCAGTGAAGGAAATGAAGAAGCAGCGTGCAGTGTCTTTCCGTGAGACCTCATTCTGTGACCTCAGTGAGTGGCTTTATTTTAGGCTGACCTGACCTGGTCTGGTTCATACTAACTCTCACTGGAGCCTGCCGTGTGGGCTTTGCCTGTTGTCTTGAATGATGGCGTCCAATGTTGGTTTTGGTGAAACTGAAACATTCCCTCACCTTTTTTTTTCTCCATAGTCTGATTTTAAACAGATTCAAGTTTGATATTATTAGTGAAATACAGAAACGTTACACAAAGCTCAAAAAATGTGTTCATCATCCCAAAATACACACACACACACACACACACACAGATATATATATAAATAAAACACATCATCAAATCTTTTTTTTAAGTTTACTAACACATTTCAGACATTTTACAGGTAAATCTCACAAACAAAAAAAGCTTGGGTCATATTTCACCCCAAAATATTTTTTTTATTTTTAGGTTTTATGCAGTCTTTATGCAGAAAATAGTTTATTTTATTTTTTTGGATTTTGGAGTAAAACATGAGCCAGACATGTTTTTATCAGTTTTGGTGAGACTCATCTTTGCATTGCTTTTAGAATGTGCATTTATACTAAATTTAGTGTTATAGGCTTGCCAGAAAGATATCTGAATGCATCTGGGTCTCTTGAGCGTGAAAATAAAACAGCATAACAATGTTCTGTAATTGGTGATTGCAAGTTTTCTTCATATTGAATGGAAATGTTATGGTGATTTCATGGCAACGTTTTGTGTGCAGTTGCTGTATTTCTTACACATTACACACTACACTGAAACAAAGTTTATATTAATACTATTTATTTACTAAGAATGTATCATCAGTATATTAACTGCTTAATGCTTAAGCTATTTTTGTCCTTTGATTTCAGGTGTCCTGAGGTGGTTCAGACTTGATTTGAAAAAGGTCATGCTAATTGTCCTCTTATTGTTGTGTTTTTGTCACTGATGGGTCACCGTGTCCTCAGACGCCAGGGACAACTCGTTCAGCCGCTCACGCAGCTCCAGTGTGACCAGCATTGACAGAGAGTCACGTGAGGTCATTTCCTCCTTCTATTTTTGTGACTGGCTGTTGAAGAAGAGTGAGACTGTGGCAGTGCCCAGCCTGTGGGTGGGCACCTCATTGGGTAGCATGCTGGCCATCGCCCTAACTGTGCCCTCCACACCAGAGCAGAGGATGCAACAGCCTGTGGGCGTCTCTTTCTGTGGTAAGACTTGCTTTACATCTGTAAAGCAAAATTAGCTAATGACTTGGAAGTCATTAGCTAATTATGGGATATTACATTAAAAAAACACAATGGAAATGCGGTCTCAGCGAAATTATGGCATTTTCTGTTGTCAATAGTTTAGCAATGTATGAAGCACAAGTCACACAGAAGTCACTTTCAAACTAAACTCAGTCGAAATTTGTGTGATCAACTTGAACGTACCAAAATCTGCATGAGGACATTTTCGTCCCTGCACTAAACTTCCAGTCGCATGGATTCTTGTTGAAATCAATCTCTTTCCCAGGAAGTGACGATTTTGTTCTCTTGAACACATGACATGGAAGCGGTGCTTTATTCACGAACAGTGTTGGGGAAAGTTACTTTTAAAAGTAATGCATTACAATATTGCGTTACTCCATAAAAAAGTAACTAATTATGTTACTTAGTTACTTTTTATGGAAAGTAATGCGTTACGTTACTTTTGCATTACTTTTTAAATCTGGACAGGGCTTGCTTGTTTGTTTTTAAAATAAAAAAGTTATATTTTTGGCAAATATAAAAGCCTTTTCACACCAAAAGTGAAATGAATAAGCCTCAGGCTGAACGGAAAGTAAATGTACATCCATACAGTAGAATGCATAAGAAGAAATTTCAACACACTTCAGCAATAAAAAAAGACACAAATGTTTGTCTAGAGTAATTTTTGCTTATTAGTATGGTTGAACTGGATCATCGAAGGTCAGAAACAAAGACATTGGTTAATAGAATGGGATTAAATACATAAAGGATATTTGTGTTGTTTAACATTTCATTATTGCAGGTTCGCGTCATATTCTGAGTTGCATTATTTTTATTCATTTTGAGGAATACTGAATCTGTTTTTGTTTTTTTTTTGTGAGTGAGATGAATTAATGCATATTCATATTTATTTTAGAACTACAGTAACATCTTCTGATTTCTCTCAACATGGGGACAGGAGAGCTGTCAATCAGTAAATTGGGAAAAAAAGTAACTTGCGTTACTTATTTGAAAAAGTAACTCAGATATTCTCTTGTAAATTAAAAAGTAATGCGTTACTTTACTAGTTACTTGAAAAAGTAATCTGATTACGTAACTCACGTTACTTGTAATGCGTTACCCCAACAATGTTTTATGCAGTATTTCAATTTTTTACATTACAAAAGTTACATTAACAGCTTTAAATAAATTTCGGAACTTTGATGGAAACAGCTGCTGATGGAAAAAGAGACCTGCATACATTCAGTATATTCACGTAAAGCAATAAATACAATATAGCAAATCTCGCAAAATGTAACTATATTATCACCCAGCTCTTTATATAAATTGGATATATAAGTATATTAAACTTTATTTGCATATATATAACACACCCACGTAAAGTGTTATGCAGCAATTGTTGGTTATGTGATTGTTTATATAGTCGCAAAATGTAACTATATTATCGCCCAGCTATATAAAGTTGGATATATAAGTATGTCCAACTTTATCTGCATACGTATAGTATTCTCGTGTAAGGCAATGCATTATATAGCAAATCTCAACTGCTTAATTGCTTGTATCATCGCAAAATGTAACTGTATTACTGCCTAATATGCTAAATGTGATCATAAGGCATGAAGATATTATAAACATTAACATCATGATTTTAAAGCTGCTTTAAAACAATGTGCATTGTGAACTTGACTTCCCGTCATCACAGGTCCAGTAGTGCGCTTGAAGGGAGGCATTTTGCGTATGGCCCAGTTGGATGCCAGCGGGACCCTTCTGCCCCACGTTTACGAGTCCTGGTATGAGCCCAACGCCCCTGAGGAGGAGAGAGAACAGCCACGGAGACGCCGGCCCACCTCGCCTCCTTCTCAGGAGAACCCGGACTGTCAGTACGCCGTGGTCTGCTCAGAGAAACAGGCTAAGGTGGTGGCGCTGCCCTCCCAAAACTGTGTCTATGAACACAACATCACAGAGACCTCCTTCGTACTTAGAGCCGACATGGTGACACTGACCGCAGGGGTCGGCATCGCCTGTTTCTGTGCCAATGGCCACATTATGACTCTCAGGTAACATGATTAACCTGATATTCAAAGCCATTGAATATTTTGTTTTTTGACTCATAAGTCTATAAACCATCTGTTTTCAGTTTGCCCAGCCTGCGGCCACTGCTGGATGTAAACTACCTTCCCCTGACGGACATGAGGATAGCCAGAACCTTCTGTTTCTCAAACCAAGGCCAAGCCCTGTACCTCACATCGCCCACTGAGATCCAAAGAATCACCTATAGCCAGGAAACCTGTGATAACCTGCAGGTCAAATTATATTTGATCATACCTGCAAACTTGTTGCATTTTGGCCGAATTTGACATTTTGACCTTGAAATATTTTGACTTTTATTCTGAGGTGCTCATTTTTGCAGGAGATGCTTGGAGAGCTGTTTACTCCAGTAGAGACACCAGAGGCTCCAAACCGAGGCTTCTTCAAGGGCTTATTTGGAGGCGGGGCTCAGTCCTTAGACAGAGAGGACCTGTGTAAGTGTTAATATGTTTTGCTTAAATAGTAGAAGTGATCAAAAATTATGTCTGATTGTTTATCATTTTTTGTCTGACATCTGTACAGTTTTCAATCAGTCAAACGTTTCAAATGTTTAATATAAAAACATTTCAATGTACAGTACACTTAAAAAGTGGGAAGAACATATCTAAAGAATCTTTTTTTTCAATATAAAGAACATTTTGTGAAATGGAAAGTTTCCTTGGATGTTAGAGGTTCTTGATGACAATAAAGAATCTTTATTTTTAAGTGTGGTATAGAGAAGAACAGTATAATGAATATCACAAAAACATTTCTGCACTATTATTTAAAAATAATAATAATTATTTTACATACAAGTATGTTAAAGGATGCACCATATGGACTACTCCGTCATCAAAAAGTGAAACAAAATATGAGATGCAAAAGAAGTGAACGCACACTTACCTCAGTGGTTATCACAAATAAAAGGTAGACAAGCTCTCAGTTTCTGCTGTGACTTAACAAGGGATGATAGTATGTGTTATTTAGAATTTGTACTTGCTTGAAAAATGTATACTGACACGGAGTTAAATCCCTCATGTTTGGTCTCACTTACAGTCGGAGAGGTGACTGCTGGTAAGGCCTCACGCAGCCTGGCGCAGCACATCCCGGGTCCAGGTGGTATGGAGGGCATGAAGGGGGCTGCGTCCGGTGTGGTGGGAGAATTGGCACGGGCGAGGATAGCTCTGGACGAGAGAGGACAGAAACTAGGCGAGCTGGAGGAGAGGACTGCAGGCATGATGGCCAGCGCAGACTCCTTCTCTAAACATGCGCATGATGTGAGATGATCACTTGCAAATCACCACGACTGCTGCTTTTTATAGTGACACACAGGTTTCAAAACTTAGTGAGCACATTTCAGTCCCTCTAGGATTCTGCGATCTCAGAACTGAATGCAATCATACACCGCAAACTAGGGCTGCCCCCTAGTCGACTAACCTTTAGTCGACGAAGACGACCAAAATTGTATTAGTCGCAGAAAAAAAAAATCCACAGGAAATGGTGAGGTCACGCAGTCCGCGATGGACAGATAGTTAACGACTGGATTTTGTGGTAATACAGTACATCCAAACGCTCGCCTATCATTCATCGACCTCAAATATGGCTTATCATCTGAAATATGTAAGTAGTAGGAACTTAACATGGCTGCTCAATCTAATGTTAACCTAGAAAAATGTGCGCTATTCAAGTGTTTGTGCGGAGTGTGAAAGCTGAACAGTAGCGCGCTCACAGCATGACAGATGGAGATGCCGGTGCGGTCACTTGCTCTTAAAATACTAATTTTTGTCATACAGATCAGAGTAATACATCTTTCAAATCTGTAAAGCCTCTACGTTTATTTGTGTGCACTCACAATAACAACAAAACATTGTGCTTTTGTAAAATAATGAAGGATGCGCTTTCTGCCGTCTCGGCCTCTGTGAACTTGAGCACGAAACTCCGTGTATACTTGCCTTACAGACATGAAAAATATATCTATAGTGGGGCTGGTCCGAATACCATTTTTTGAGTTTAGAAGCTTCGGTAGTAATCAACACCGAATATTTGAAGCTTCGGAGGGAGGGGGCTAAACATATTTTTCTCTCAACACCGTGTCTACACCGGTGCTTTCTACACTGGATGCTACTGCGTTTACAGTACTGTAAACTACTGCTGCGTTCTATTTATGACGTACTGACACAAATTTAAAATGATTTTCAATGGTCGCTTTGTTGCGTGCAGTGTAGACAGACTTTAGCTGTTGCGGCGCAACACTACAACTATCGCATCCGGTGTAGACACGGTGTATTAAAGGCAGGAATCTCTGTGTGTCTGTCTGTCTGTTTGCATTTTTATTATGTCGAGAACCGTTCATCCAAACGACTTCACGCGTGGCGGGTATGTTGCTGCAGACCCAAGGGAGTGCAGTGTCGCATTTTGGTGCAATATGGACACACGACACGTTCAGAATTAATAAACTTTTAATAAACTACAGAGCAGTGCGAGCCGGAAGCTGCGCGCCTCACGCGGGCAGGGCTTATATGCTCCAAGAACGGACACTGCACTAGTGATACAAAACAAACAGGTCTGTTAAGAGCAATAATTTTAATATAGACAAATTATTATTAGGCTGAGCTACTGTACGTTTTTTTATGACTGCCGTATTCGCAAGTATTTTCCAAGCAAATTAAGTGCACGTTTTTATCATGTGTAAAATTACTGATTAACATGGCGGATAAAAGCAGCTCATTTTTTACACCAACAAAGGCATACTACTTACAGAACTTACAGGTGATTTTTCAAACTTGATGTGCTGTTGTGGTCAGCCAGTTTCAAATCGCATATTTCGCACATTGCCTTTGTCTTGTCCTCACTCAATTTAAAGTGCTCCCCTCCCACACAGCTGAGGTCTTCAGCATTTTTGTTTTCTCTTCCAGATGAACTGAATCATGACGTTCATGACGTTCACTCATGGGCGATTCATATTCAAGAGCGAATGAGAATCGTTTCGCGGGGGATGCCGTGTTAAAAAAAAAAAAAAAAAGAATATTCGAATCTCAAAATTGAAAATCGAATGCCAACCCACCTAACGAATATTCGAATAATCGAATAATCGAATAATCGAATATTCTGGTCCAGGCCTAATCTATAGAGAGTGAAATGTCTACTTTCAAATGAAACAATTCAAATCTGAAAAAAACAAATATTCTCAGATTATGTAATCCGTATGAAACTTGCATGCAGGCGCATTCACTGCTGTAGAGATGACGAGCCAGTGTCGCCGAATTCATCTCTTAAGAAATCACAGAAAACACTAGTTTATCAATAGGTTATTAAAATGTTAATGCAGTTTAATCTTACTGTTTTTCCCTGACACATTCATCATCATTACTTCTGCCGTTGGCAAGCTTTATGCGTGCGCTTGAGCGCTTATTAGGCTATGTAGGCAATTAAAGGCTCATTAGCATGATTTAAATGGTTTATTAGTCAACTGGTTTATTAGTTGAGATTTGTCGTCTAATGCTTAAAATGAACGACTACTAGTCGACCAGAAAAATCTTTAGTCGAGGGCAGCCCGACTGCAAACAATGGGCCTCATTCATGAAACACGAGCAGAATGAATTTTTATGTGAATCGTTTGTAAAGCCGTTCTGACGTAAACATTCGAATTCATGAAAATTTTCGTATTTTCAAAATGTTAGTTGGTAGGAAAGAAATTTACACCTGCTCCCTACCACGTGTAAATGGTGCGTAAAACGTTCTGTGTTCATTTAGGCAAACTGATGACATTATGACAAACTGCCATTATAATATTTTACAAGGTCGTTGGGCCGGATTTTTTATTGTAATGTTTTTTTTGTAGCTGAGAGTTGATCAGCTGTTTAGCTTTGGGTAAAATGCAGCCGTCGCTTTTTACCCAGCCGTCCAATCAATGGAGGAGGGCCGGGACAAATTTTTTTTTTTTTTTTCCACTGCAAAAATAACAGAAAATGGCACAAATATTGCTGCAATTGTTGTAAAAAGCTTCAGAAAATTCAGTCATTTTAGGCCACAAAAATCAGAAAAAAATCCTGTGAAATCCTGGTGGGACTAATATTTGGTTGAGAATCAGGACTTTTCATTGGTATTGATGTCCAAAAATTGCTGTCTAGGTTGGAAGCTCTTTAGGTTTTGAGATGCAGCCGTATTCTTTGTCAAACAATGATATTTGTGTTGAATAATATTTCATAGCAAGTAATCCATCTTTCGTCACCAGATAATGCTGAAATACAAGGACAAGAAGTGGTACCAGCTCTGAGATCAGCGCACCCTCCTATGAAGACAGCAGATCCATCATCTCTCCTCCGTCTCTTCCTTCTCTTCCTGTATCTTTCTCTCTCTGTGATGTCCAGAGACTGCCACTCTCGCTCAGCACAACGTCACGTGGCATTACCTCGAGCTGAGGAGCTGCGGAGAGACAGGAGACAGGAGGGGAAGGAACAGGACAGGTGAAACGCATCAGGATGGGATTTCCTTCCCTTCTCGGTGGCAGTTGAGTTTCCTCTCCTGAAAACAAAGCCGTGGATCTTGTCTTGGGAGAGGAGGCCCTTCGCCGGTGCTGCCCCCTGTCTTACACCTTCATCCGCCACGCTGTCATTTTCACTGCCATTCTACCTGCAAAGAAACTACAGAAAGGACATTTTGGGAAATGAAAGATATAAGGTTAACGAAATGGGTCAGAAGGACATAGAGCTGACTAAAGAAGGTCTAACATCTGCAGCTTTGCCAAGCTTAATGCTTCTGATAATCTGTCACTAGAGCAAGAATAGGCTGCATGTCTAGTGATATAATTTAGGAAATTAGTGCTTTTTCTTGTTTTTGGAATTGGGATGAATCTCATCTAAGTAATATTTCACCTCAAAATCAATATTTTGCATAAAGAAAACCTATTTTTAGGAGGCAAGTGTGTTCCTTAAGCAAAATATTACATTAATTTTGATTTTAGGTTGAAGCATAACTAGATTTCATGAGATTCACCAAGTAATCATGTTAGCTATGGAAAAGGCCAGATTGTCTTACATAAGGTGTAATTAAGTATTTAATTTAACCTCTAAAGGGCTGGAAGTTGCTGTATTTACCACATATCATGTGATTATTTTGCCATATGAAATTGGAGACAGGCCTAGGCAGCGAAGCTGATCTGATCATGCATCATTTTATTGTTTCGTCATACTGGTTTACACTGATCAGGTCTCAAAAGAGCTTTTAGGGAAGAGCTCTGACTTTGATGTACTCTATACGCTGTGTTGACACTGGAGAAAGATGTTCATTTTAAATATATATATATATATATATAAAGATCTAAGGAATATGTTGGTGAATCTCACAAAAAAATGTCTGGCTCATATTTAACACCAATATCAAAATCATTTATTTAAATTTAAATAGTACAAATACCACCATGATATATAAATATTTATCAATTTAAACGCACACACACACACACACACATATATATAAAAATGAAATATATATTTTTTTTAATTACAAAATAAAAATGTGCCTAATTAATTACAGTGCAAAAAATAGCTTTCATTTTCTGTAAACAAACTATAATTTCTAATTTGTCAGATTTTTGGACTAATTTGTCAGATTTTTGGGGGGGTCAGATTTGACCCATATCTGGCTCAGATATGACCCAGACGTGCATTTAAAAGGTTTCACGCAGGTGAATAACTGCTGAATTGTGCTGGTTATCTACAACCAGAGATCTGGAGTGCGTAAATTATCTTTGGTTATTTTGGTCAGGTAATTTTTATTATGAAGGAGCGCGAGTGAGAGTTGGAAAGTGTGAGGCATGATCTTGATTATGTGCCTTGTGATGATTGACATGTCAGAAACCAGATACGAGGGACACCGGTGGAATGTGCCGAGAGTACTGATTCTTCATATGCAAAACAGGTTCCTCCTCCTTATTTCCCATGATGCAACTGCACTTGGACAAGAAAATCTCGAGGCTTATGCGAGACTCAGTACAGTACCTGGTGACTTCCTCATCTTTAAGTACATGACGAATGGAATTCTCTGTATTTTCTAAGAAGCCTTTTCGGATGGACTAATGCATGAGTTTGTCATCCTCACAGAGAGGTGAATATATCTATCTCTGTGTTTGTTGCTGCAGTGGAGGTGACCACTAAATGTTCAATGCAGCTCCATACTCTCGATCAGCAGCCCTCGGATGTGTCATCCAGATGGCGTTACCTTCTGCCTTTGCTTTGCGACCCATGAATATATGCTAACCTCGCCTCGTGTGCGTATACATGTGTTCGTGAACATACATGTATGCAAGAATATGTGTATGCTCACGTTTATATAAACTAAAGATACAATATATTTGAAAGCATATGTTGAGATGTTTTCTTTAAGTGTTTTCTTATTTATGAGGTGCAAGAAATTGCTGCTATTTGTGTTTAAAATTAGGAGCATCTGTCAAATCTGTTGACGCTTGTTATTTTTCTATCAGGCATATGAAAGAATTAGTTCTCCCAAAAATGAAGATTTGCTGAAAATGTATTCATTCTCAGGCCATCCAAGATGAGTTTGTTTCTTCAAGGGAACAGATTTGGAGAAATGTAGCATTGCATCACTTGCTCACCAATGGATGCTCTGCAGTGAATGGGTGCCGTCAGAATGAGAGTCCAAACAGCTGATAAAAACATCACAATAATCCACAAGTAATCCACACCACTCCAGTCCATCAGTTAACATCTTGTGAAGTGAAAAGCTGCGTGTTTGTAAGAAACAAATGCATCTTTAAAGCGTTTTAACTATAAACCATCGTTTCTGGCCAAAATATGAGTCCATAATCCATAATAACGCTTCCTCCAGTTAAAAAGTTCATCCCCTGTTGTCTTCTCACATGAAAATCCTCTGACATATTTGTCTAGAACTGTTCTGAACTTTCACTCGTAAATGGTGCTTGATCTGTGCATATTTCTCTCCTGATTCAGACGAGACAATCTTTTTCACTGGAAAAAGTGAAATTACAGACTCCTATTTCATCCAGAAGAATGGATTTGTTTCTTACAAACATAGTTTTTTGCTTCACAAGATGTTAACTGATGGACTGTAGTGGTGTGGATTACTTGTGGATTATTGTGATGTTTTTATCAGCTGTTTGGACTCTCATTCTGACGGCACCCATTCACTGCAGAGCATCCACTGGTGAGCAAGTGATGTAATGCTACATTTCTCCAAATCTGTTCCAATGAAGAAACAAACTCATCTACATCTGGGATGGCCTGCGGATGTGTACAGTTTCAGAAAAGTTTCATTTTTGGGTGAACTATTCCATGAAGGCTTTTCTGTTATTTTTCTTTGTTTTGTTTTTTTGTTCGTCACATTGCTGCCAAAATGTTGTAAATATGAATATTCTTGAAGACAAACTTGAGAGTGCTGATGCAGTCAAAGTTACTGAAGATGGTGGCCATGATCTGGCTAGACTCCAAAGAGTTGCTTTGCTGTGAAAGTTGATCTCACAGGGAGGAGAGGATGTTCCTTACAATTTAAAACATAAGTGTCATGGCATCTCCATATATATATATATATATATATAGATAGATAGATAGATAGATAGATAGATAGACATATAGCAAACTACTCCTTCTGTTGCCATGGTGTTTGTGTAAATACCTACCAAGATTGAGTTGACCAACTGAAAATCTAATCCAGCTTCTCTGCCTCATATATTTTTCTTTTCTATGAGCAGTTGTGTGGTTTTGCACTATATGTTTTATATTATAATGACGTCATTTTATTATCAATATTTTTGTAGTTGGCATTGTTCTTTATTTTGGACATTTTGTTTCTTTAAGAAGGACCAAAATTAGACGGATGCTAGTGTAAATGTGGCTCACACTCTCAGATTTGTCCTCATTGCCAGTTTAATAATATTCTAATATATTTATACATTTGAAATATATATATATATATATAACTATATAATTTACTTTTAATTTACAAATGAATACTTTTATTATATTGTTTGAAATGAAAGGGCGCATTTAAAGAAAAATTGGTTGTGTATATATTCTCACTGAATCAAACATGAAACCTTTTCTTGTGAGCCATCTGCTTGGTCGTCTGTGGAAGAGGGAAAGTCGACCTGAAGAATCTCTGAAATCACTGGCCATCTCTGTGTACTGCTCGTCCTCTGATTTCTCTTGCACAAAAGGCAGCATGATATCGTGTTTACAAACTTGAAACATCAATCTACGTTATATTTTGTCTCTTTTTCTTTAGTCCTGCTAGTCAGATGTATTGTCAGTAATGTATTTACTCTCTATTATTGATGATTATGAAGGCGAGATTATTTTTTTCTTCTTCTGATAGTATACTCTCAGCATTGTTATTTGAGTTCCCCTGACCATCAAAGCTGTACTCCATAAAAAAGACAATTCTGAAAAGGGTCGGTTTGGAGGTTGATGATTCTTCGTGGGGTTGCAGGCTTTCTCATCATAGCCGACTTATTGTACAGTTTTATTATTCAGACTTTCACATGAATGTTTGTCTTTATCTGCTGCCACCCAACAGTTTAGGAAACATGTTTATAGACATAACTGCAATGGAAAATAAATGTAACAGAAAGCTTTATTTACAGCCGTTTTATTCCACACTTCTTTTTGCATACTTTGACCACTAGATGTCACGGTCCCCTGACCATCAAAGCTGTACTCCATAAAAAAGACAATTCTGAAAAGGGTCGGTTTGGAGGTTGATGATTCTTCGTGGGGTTGCAGGCTTTCTCATCATAGCCGACTTATTGTACAGTTTTATTATTCAGACTTTCACATGAATGTTTGTCTTTATCTGCTGCCACCCAACAGTTTAGGAAACATGTTTATAGACATAACTGTGCAATGGAAAATAAATGTAACAGAAAGCTTTATTTACAGCCGTTTTATTCCACACTTCTTTTTGCATACTGTGACCACTAGATGTCACGGTTTTACAACTTGAACTCTCAATTTGAAAGAAATAATAACCTTGGGTGATTACACATCTGTTTTGCCATTTAAAATAAATATGAAATAGAACGTTAATGTATAATCTGAATAGAAACCATAAGCATATGTATATATATATACATTTATGAATATATATATATATATGATTCTAAAATATACATAATATGTATTTTAATAGAAGCCTTATCAAAGCAAAAAAAGAGGTGTCAGAATTGCATTAAGGGTTTTGTATAGCAATAAATCACTGATTTAACAATTTAATTCGTTTTATAATTGTATTATGAAAGAATCATTATATATGCAATGTTTCCAGTTCTTATTTTACCTTTTAGATAGATATATGAAATAAACAGATATATGAAATAAATGTATAATCTGAATAGAAACCAGAAACATTGCATATATATCACATGTACGCTTTGATTAGATGTCTATAAAATTTTTTTAAATAATATATATATTTTGCAGAAAAACTGACTAACATACATATAAATATATATAAGATGCCTAATCAAAGCAAACAAGTATCAGAATTGATTTAAAGCTAACATTAAATATCAATAAATCATTGATTTAGCAATTATGTAATAACAGTTATGACAATTCTCTCTACAAAATTGTTACCATAACCCTTATTTTTATTTATCCGAGTACAAATTTACTATTTATAGACAAGGTATTTTTAAACAATATAATTTGTGTGTAAATTGCAGCTAAAACTGAAAAAAATAATAATAATAATAATAATTGTGCCTGTGTGTTCTTTCATATTAGGTTATTTGGGCGACTGATATTGCCTTACGAATTAAAAAAAAGACATTAAAAAAAATCTTGGAAATGGACGTTTTTTGTTTTTTAGTCATTTAAAAAAAAAAAAAGATTAAACTTCCACCTCTGTGGGAATGACTGCAGACAAATAGCGCTGCAGTTCCTCATACGGCCTGCAGGGGGCTCCAAAGTAAAACAGCAGCTAGTACGAAAGGCGCATCAGAATGAAGGGGAGGGAAACTTCAATTTGGCGTCTGGCGCTCCGTTGAATCAGTTCGACTCGCTCAGTCTGTCTGGTTCGCAGCACAGCAGAAGTTGCATCTTCTGTGTATTCCTTTTCCCTTGTTTATTTAAGGATCGGATCAATGGAAAATAAACCGAGCCGCGGAAGAAAGCGACTCACCGACACTGGATACAAACGGCGTGTCGTCCAGTGACAATCTGATGCTGTGAGGAATAAAGTGTATCTGCTGAGAGGAAACCAGCGTAGGTCATGAACTTTCACGCTGTGAAACTGGATATATGACTAAATATAGACTTTTACTAGGGGATTATCATATGCTAAACCTTGTATCATTTCATATTCGATATGACACGACAGGTTATCAAAGTATTAGGGTAAATACAATGCACTTTAAACTTTGTTTGCATGTTTGCA